CGGAGAATAAAATTTGATCTTTTAATGACTTATAAGATTATGCATAACTTAATTGATTTGCCTTTTACTGAGTTTTTTTTCCTCTTCATTGTCTCTATTTAAATCGAATTTAAAAACATACAACATTCAGAGACACTGTTTACTGTTTTAAACTTGGTGTTACATAAGAGTAATTCTCCAATTACCTGTATCAGGTTTTTGTATTTTTATTTAAATGCAAATAAATTGAAATAATAATAATAATAATAATAATAATAGCAATAATAATAATAATAATAATAATAATAATAATAATAATAATAATAATAATAATAATATATATATATATATATATATATATATATATATATATATATATATATATATATATATATATATATATATATATATAGAGGTGATTTTTTTTTTATTGTTGGATTTTAGTTAATTAAACAACTTGCTGTTAACATTTTAGCATTAAAAAATATCAACTTTTTTTAATTTGAAAAGTTTTAAATTATAATGTAAAATCTCCTCAAGACATTTAAAGAAAGATCATTGGATATAGAATGATCAAAAACTGAACGGAACAAGTATAAATCAAAAAAGTTTTTGAAGACAATATTTTCAAAGTTTGTTAAAAATGGCAAAAAATTAAAAAAATTTAAAGGACAGAAAACCTCCGGTTGTCTGTCCTTAAAACAATGTTAACATACATTTATTAGGACTACACAAATGCTAAAATTTTCAGGCAAGGGAGTGAAAAATCTATTTCAAAATTTCACTACAAAAAAATGGGGTACATTTCCCAGCCTCTATGGTGTCTTGGGCACTAGATACAATTTTAACATGCAGATTCACCTACACTACAGAAATGCCGAAAAATTCAGGGTTCCAGCTAGTCTGGAAGGTAGTGAAAAATCATTTGCAATATTCTGCTACAAAAAAAACAGGAAACGTGTCCTATTATCCATATATGGAAATCCAATACTTGCAGATCAAAATCTTTATATTTTCTGTAAGATCAATGAATATAGAATGATGTAACATTTTATTTTTTTTAATATCATCAAAGCCAAATAATTTTCTTGAGGATTAAAAAAAGGGAATACAAAATATTACCCTAATTTATCTAAACTGATAACAGGGCGGCCACACATTTTTTTGAGTTAAAAAATTAGAAGATTTTAGGAGATTTTTAAAGATTTCTTAAAAGATTTAACCAAGAAACCTGGAAAAACAAATTTAATAAATTAAGATTTTTTAGGACGATTTTAATAATATTTTTATGAAATTTTATTATTATTCAAAGTTTTTAATAAAAAACTTTCAAAGTTTTTTATTAAAAACTTAAACTTTCAAAGTTTTTAATAAAAACTTTGAAAGTTTAAGCTGAATCTTTGGAAGAAAACTTCAAGTTTGAAAACCAAGTTTAAATTAGATTTTATGAGTATTTTTGAAATTCAAGTATATTTTAGAAGAATTTAGGTCTTTTTAAGAGGATTTTAAAATATTAGGATATTTTAGGATTTATTAGGAGGCGTGGCCACCCTATCATAATTTCAGGTACTTAATAATGATTTTTTTGCATTTTTAATCATTTTATTGAATTTGTAGCCCCTGAAAATAGTTAAATACAAATTTTTAAGTAAAAATATCAAATATTTTTAAAGTTATGTAATTTAAAAGTTTAAATAAACAATCTGAGGGGATAACAGGGGCCTGGCTAAAAGTAAAATAGTCATATTTCAGGAGTTAGAGGCTAAAATTTTCAAGTAATTCTTATTTTACTACATACAATTAGCAGCATAAAAATCAACAAAATTTGAGATGTATGATGACATTTTTTTTAATTTTTGGTTCAATTGACATGGAATTACTCTATACATTCCTTATTATTCCTTACTTATGGCAATATTTTTTAGTAAAATATTTCAATCTAAAAAATTGCTTTAAGAGCAAAAAAATTCAACATGCACCTTTTCTGCATACATAAAGCTTATAAGTGATTTATAAAATGCTTTATTTTTCTCCTAAATGCATATGATTGATAGATCAGTGGTTTAGCATGCTGTAAATAGTGTTATTTCATAGGATTCAAATCCTCTCCCAAGGGTAACAAATTTAAAATTTTTAAATTTTGTTGTATATATTTATGACAAAAAAAAATAATAATTAGCTTCTAATTGTTAAAAATAAATTTTTATCATATTAAACATATATTATCTACCATTGCTCCATATAGCACCTGCAAACTCAACTTATGCTAAAGCTGTTTGCACTTGCAGACATTTGTACATAACACTATACAAATGATGGCATTAAGAAAGGTAATTTACTTGATGAGTCATCTTTTTTTTTTTATTTTAATTCACCTCCTCAAGGCCGAGAAGGCCACTACAGATGAGGAGGATACTTATTTGTGGCTATAACCCTCTCTTAACTCTATAACTCTGAAACACGAACCTTGACGAACAAGGCCGCTGCGCGGAGAAACGAGTTGAGCGCGGTACTACCAAGGACGTGGTGGGGATCGAACTCAGAACCACTCGTTTATGAAGCGAGCGCTCTACCACTACACCACTACCGCATCTACTCTTTATCTTCTAAGATTAACTCTTACTTCCGATCTTTCTTGGAAACCATATATCAAATCTATTATAAAATTAGCATCTGCTCAAGTTGTTCAACACTTTCTTACTCAAAATTCTATTCTTTATCTCTATAAATCTCAAATCCGTTCTTGTATGGAATGCTGTTGCCATATCTGAGATGGATCTTCCAACGATGCCCTTTCTTTTTTAGACAAGGTGCAAAAATGCATTGTAAACAGTTGGACCTGCTATTGCAGACATAACTTTCAACCGTAATCACATTGTTGTTGCTTCTCCTTCTCTTTTCTACAAATACTATAATGAACACTGCTCTAAAGAGCTAGCATCTCTTGTGCCATCTACTAAAATTCATTATCATGTTACTTGTCATTTAATTAAGTCTCACCCTTTTACTGTTCCTAAGTGCTCCAGAAACTCTTATTTGTCTAGTTTTTTCCCTCGTACATCAGTTCTTTGGAATTTGCTTCCTTTATCTTGCTTTCCTGATTCATATAATTTGCATTCTTTTAAGTCATCTGTTAATCATTATCTTGCTCTATAAACTTAATCTTTTATCTTCCAGTAACTTCTAACCCTAGTGGTTGCTTGCAACCTTGTTGGAAGCGAAGATGTTTAAAAAAAAAATGTATTGTAGTTTTAGCAAACAGAAATTATCAAAAGAGAGGATAGTCATGACAATCCAAAATCAAATTTTTGAATTTTCTACTTGAATAAAACAATATGTTTTATATTTTTTCAAATTAGTCAATTTTTTAAATACAATAACATAAATACAAAAATTCAAAACAAAACAGTTTAAGCAAAAAAGACTTGTAATTATTAAAAAATTCCTTATACTACACACAATCCTGTATATAACGCTAAATAAGTAGATTTTTTACATCTATACATAACATATTTGTCTATATATACTGTTTAAATACAAGCGCAATTTTATTGCTATGCAATAAAGCTGCACTTATTTAGAGAACCGGCTTGAGAAGTGTTGATTAATTGCAATCAGTATAAAAGATTTATAAAATAGTTACTTTTATATCATGGTAAAACTTCCAAAGCTCAGTGGTTTAATCTGCTGTCATCAGTGTCATTTTGTGATTGTTCATATTCACCCCTTTACACAATACATACAACTTTTTTTTTTTGCCTCCACAGCAGCATCTTCTGGAATAGCAGGATGGCCTTTTTAAATTTTTTCCTTATTTAGTTTCAGACCTTAATTTTTTTTAGACCCCTTGCAGCTAATTAGGACTAATTAGCTGAGCATATTATTAACATAAGTATTTTTATCAGGACATATGCACAATAAATTTCTTCTAGTGTTTTGATGTATTTAGAAATTTTAAACTTTTTTTTTAAATTCTCTATCTTTCCTTTGGTATAGTATATAAAATTCTTATATATACTATGAATATAATATCTATATAACTTCAAAAATATTTTGTTTTGTATTTATATAACAAACAGAAATAAAATTTTAAAAAAAAGTGCTAGCATAAGGATTTGAACCACAGCAATTCAGATCAGAAATGCCGCCAGCTAACCACTTTGACCACTAAGACTTATTGTTCAAGCAATGCTTTAATAAACATTATTTAATAAACAAAAGACTTAATAAAATGTCAAATAAATGTTATAAATCAAACTTAAGGAGATGTTGCTGCAATGGAATTTTCAAATAAAAGTAGAACTGTAAAAGCTGATACATGTTTTAACATTACGTAATCTGAAATTTACACATGTTAGATATTTGCATACACTTTTGTTCACATTTTCTTATAAAAAAAGTGATGTGACTCTTTCTCACCATTAACACAGGTTTAATGGTTGCTGCGAGTTCTGTGCACACACATAAATGACAATAATACTATTATTAAGTTACTCAATATATAATATGATTTTTATTCAATTGTATTAAATTTTATGTCATTTACAATTTTTTTTTTTTAATTTTACATATTATTTATCAAAATATTTTCATTTAGTAATTTTAAAACAACTTAAACTTGAGCATCATAATAAAATCAAGAGAGGACAATCAAAACAGTTTTATTATGCATCTTATTTTATTATACTTTGATACTTACGAAATCAACTAATTGAATAGTGCTTTTGAAACTAATAAAATATGAGTTTTGTTTTATTTATAGAATCCTGGTTACATATCAATTAGTTCAATCCTGGTTACATATCACAACTCTAATATAATTTATATTTAATTTACTCTGAGAAATTTGTGTTACAAGAAACTTACCTTGTGCTCTCTGATTGTTTGACTAAGACAAGGGTATCTTTCTGAAAGCCATCGATAAAACTTAGGAACACCCATTATGAATGAATATTTCGCATATGCAACTATAACAAGTTTTAGATAAACCTAAATTTATTTATCAATACTATATTATTAACTATATAACTTATATACCTATTAATAATATTATTGAAATGTAATTTTTGAACACTATATGGTATAGTTTTTGTACTGCGTATTAATCTTAAACACATTTTTTACTTATTAAAAAATAAATTTATTGGAATATATTAATTTTTAAATATTATTCAAGTTAGTCGTAATTGTTCTTACCATATTGTTCTAAAAAAACAATACTTAAGTCCCTTAAAATGTTAAATGCATTAGATATAAATTATCTAAAATTGTACTTTAAATTCATTTTTAAAAATTAATGCTTAATTAGGATTCCTAATTTATTTAAAAAAAAAAATTAATTGAGCTAATTTGCTAAATTAACCTGTTGAATTCAGACTTAAATATTATAATATTATATATAAAAAATAAATATTATATTTAAAAAAGCGCACGTGCGTTCAACAATTTATATGACAATTTTTTTAAAAAGTACGGTTTGCCTTTCGAAGGCTCGATTTCTCCTTAATAACGCGAGCTTAACGCGAAGTTAACAAATTTATCGAGACAACTAAAGTTTGCGGTATTTAGATTTTTAAAATAAAAAATAAACTTTATTATAATATTGAAATAGCCTAACTCTATTATAAAATCTAAACTTTTCTTTTTTTTTCATATTTTTTTAGATACACCTAAAAATACGAGCGTCACAACGTTACATCGATTTGTCACGCCGTGACGCTCATAATTGTGCAATAACTTGTAAAATAGAAAATAAAAATTTGAAATAAGATTTATTATAAATTTCAAAAATAAATAAAAAACAAAATCTAAGTTTAACTTTCATTTTAAGACCTTTTTGATTACCCTAGCAATGTAAATTTACATGTTAATATGAGGGGATTTTTTAGTTAAAATGTTTATATAACTTAAAGGCTATATATTTTTATAACTTATTAGGAATATGGTCTTTTAATTAAAAATCAAACTTTAATTTTTAGATGATGCAGATGATCATTTCCAGAATGGTGCCCGATAGGCAATACAAAATTGCTTAAAGTTCGTTTGACAAAAAGGTTCATTTAAAAAATCAGTATTTCTCAATTTGTATTTGTTGATGGGTTTCGAAGTAAAAATTATATATAAATTATATATATTTAGCTCGTATATATTTAAAATTCTCATTTCAATAAAATAATGTTTTGTGTGAGAAAAGCAATTTGCAAAGCAGATTAAACGGATTGCATGTTTCTGACGTAAAGGCGTTGCAACTTACTTTTTTCTGTACTACCCCAGGCAATATTAGCATAATTTAAATAACTGCGTATAAATGAATAATAAAGTTTGATTAAAATTTTCTTATTGAGGTAGATTCGTGCTTTATATAAAACTCGTATGTTTTTCGAAATTTTAGGGCTTATGTAGTCGATATGATGATTCCAAGTGATGTTTTTATCAAGATAAACACCTAAAATTTTTTTACGGAATCCCTTTTTATTTCAATTTGATCAATAAAACTTTTAGGTAAGTTTAATGGAAAAACCGTTTTTTGAAGAGCGAATGGAATAAGGTCCACTTTATTTTATTAGTATTTAGAGTTAACTTATTACATTTAAACCAACTCCATATATGTCTACGCTCTTTCTTCATTGTTTTAAAAAGTTCAAAAATATCACAGTTAAAAAGGAATAGGTTAGTATCATCTGCAAACATAATGCTTGTTAGTTTAGAGGCTTTTTTTAAATCATTAATATAAATTAGGAAAAGGAGTGGGCCAAGAAGTGAGCCTTGTGGGTCTCCACATTTTATAGAAAGATAATTGGTGTGATAACCGTCATTACTCGGAACAAATTATTTACGATTTGACAAATAGCTTTCAAACCATTTTGAAAACTTTATTTTTTATTCCATAGTGTTTAAGTGTATAGATCAAAATTTGGTGATCAACCGTATCAAAAGCTTTTGATAGATCAATAAAAAGTCCTAGAGTATATTGTGATTTTTCAAATGGTTTTGAGATTTCACGTACAAATTGGATAATTGCATGTTCAGTTGAGCTATCCTTTTTTAAAACCGAATTGATTAATGTAAAGTAATTTATTAACATGAAAATATTTATATACTCTGTTATATATAATTTTTTCTAAAATTTTTGAAAATGTGGAAAGAACAGAAATAGGGCGATAGTTACTAATAATTGATTTGTCCCCTTCTATGAAAATAGGAGTAATTTTAGCAATTTTTAGCAGTTCGGGGAAAACACCTTGATGGATTGAAGCTTTAAAAACTTTAAAAATAACATTATTCAGCTGTTCAAAACAATCTATAATAACGTTTCCATTTATTTGACCTGCTCCAATTGCTTTATTTTTTTTAACGATTTGAAGGCTCTTTCAAACTCTTCAAACAATAATTCAGAAGACAACTCAACTGAACCAATGCAATTATAAATGGATACTAGAAAATCAGTAAATAAAGATTTGGTCTTAGGAATTTTTTGGAAAGTGTTGGACCTTAATCGATAAAAAATTTGTTAAATTCTTGAGCTATAGTTTTTGGTCCATATATACTTTGTCATCAACTCTAACCGTTTGTGGCAGAAAACCTAAGCATGATTTTGGTTTTCCAATAATTTAATTCATTATTTGCCATGTGCGTTTTGTGTCATTTTTAAATGTATTAAGTAATTGGGAGTAATAATTTTTTTAAGGTTTTTGCGAATTTTTTCAAATAGATTTTTGTAGTTCTTGTAAATTTTTTCGTTTTTAGGTGTTTTTGTTTTCAAAAAACTTATATATAGTTTTTGTTTAATTTTGGACTATTTTTTAAAGCCTTTAGTAATTCAGGGTGTATTGCCGCTTTTAGTTGTTATTTTATTTTCAATGATTGGTAAATTAAAATCGTATTTATAAAAAAATGTTTTGAAAAAAGACTCATAGATATTGTTAGCATTATCATTAAAATTTATGTTATTCCAGTGCAGTAATGAAAGTTGATTTTTGAATAAAATAAGGTTAGCCTCATTATAAATGCGTTTTCGAATTACTTTTTGTGCGGTTAAAGTTTTTTCAGAGTTTGTATTATCTAATTTTAGGAATATAGGGAAATGACCCGATATATCGGTTCGCAAAATACCTACTTTTAAATCATTGTTGAAAATATTTGAAGTTATTATATTATCTCTTAGAGTTGCTGAATTTATCGTTACTCTTGTAGGTTTGTTTATTAAAGATATACCCGTATCAAAAATTTCATCATAAAAATTTTTAACTTTAAGGTTATCATTATAAAGAAAACAATTCATGTTTAAATCTCCAATAAAATTTTGCTTTTTTTCAACGGTTTTTAATAGTTTGTTGTAAAAACATGCTAAGGTTTTTAAAGTAAAGGCTATCTATCGTTTAAACATGTTCAGACATTAATCTCTCAAAAAAGTAACATACCAATAGAAACTACAAAAAAAAAAAAAAAACTGAAAAAAAATAAATTATGTTTTAAATAATTCTAAATTTAAAATTAAACAAAATATATTACGAATTACATAAATCACATAACTTTTTTTTTTTTGACAACTTCAATATACTTACACTTCATTACATTACAAATTCTATCACATAATTTAATGCAAAGTATAACATAAAAATACGTAATTTAACAATTATAACAAAATAAAACGTCAAATTAATAAATAATGTTTTTTATCATAAAAACTAACATTGTTTTTTTTAAATAAAAACTAAAAATATTAAACATGTTCTTGTAAAGGAGACTCGTAGAAGATTAAAAAGTCTTATCATCGAGTACCTCTTTAAATGGTTAAACAAATCTAATTAATTTTTATATATATAGTTAAAAGCCGTTAATATACAGTCAGTGATACACATAAATATTTTAGTATAAATCTTGTTGTCAAGTTTAAAACATGTCAATAAAATTGTTGATATTAAGTATAAGGTGTTTTAATTTTTTTTCTTCAAGGCGGCAGAATTATTTAATACTTTAAGTTTTATAAATTTGGATAGTATTTTGTTGTATAGATGCGGGCGCCGGTAGGAAATAGAGAGCTGTGAGAATTTTGTTGTTTTTTAAGGCGATGTGAAATTTTCTGTTGCTCTTGTGATATATCTATTAGAGTTAATTTGAAAAAGTATATCTGAAAAATGCAATGGGTCTAGTCCAAGATTGTATTTAAGCATGAAGAGAATATTTTGATAGATGTTGATTTGGTAAACATTTAGTGCATTCAATATTTTTAGTAAAAGGTCAGCATCGGTGAGTTTATCCTTATTATAAACTAATCTTGATGCATTTTTTTTGACTTAAATAAAGAGTATTCGTTTTGTATTAGCGTGTACTTGTTAATATATTGAAGAAACAGAAGGGGTTCAAGAATGAAACCTTGGGGGACACCGCACTCTACTTATAGCAGTTCTGAGTGTTTATAATTGTCTGAAATAACACATGAAAGTATTTAGCAACATTTTTAACGAGCTGTTGTGCGTAAAAAAGCTGTGAGTAAAAAAGAACTTAAAACTGAAAAAAGAACTTAAAGTAAGAAAGTAAAAAGAACTTAAAGTAAAAAAACCTTAAACTTAGAAATACTGCTGATATTAACTTAAATATACATCGTATATTTAAGTTTGCCATATATATCAAATGCTGCTGATGTATATGGCAAACTTAAATATGCCATATATATCAGCAGCATTCCTAGTTTTAAGTTCTTTTTTACTCACAGCTAAATCTGCATTGAATTTCATTTTGAATGATTGGTTTTTCTTTCAAAGTTAAGTTATAAAAATAAAAATTCCTATGAATTTATCACTAATATTGCTTTTCTAAATAAGGAATATAATATGTTAGATGAAAAATAAAATCACCATACTTTAAACACCATTACGAAATGATAGTATATAGCCAATTATATAAATAACTTGTTGTCCCGATACGCCCTACAAAAATAATTTTACTGAAATTAATACAATTCAAAGTGTTTAATTTTAGATATTTTTTTTTCAAAAATTTTTTTTTTCTTTTCTTTTTG